TCCAAAACAGCTGTCAATCATATAAGGTTTTCAAACTTTAACATATTAGAATCACTTGGGGGTACTTACTGAAAATAAAGATTCCTGGGCATCACCCCTGAAACTGGCCCCAAAAATCTACATTTTGGACCCCAAGTGATTGTGACTCGTATGGTATGAGGCACAACCTTGAGAAATGCAGCTTTTTGAACAAACCAGGACTTGAAGGATGTACAGATTTACAGAAGAAGGAGGACTTTCCAGGCTAAAGGAGATGCATGAAGATTCTAAAAGCATGAAGCTGTGTGTGCTGAGGACAGGGAGAGTGGTCTGATGCATAGCAGGCTCTTAAACCAGCTGCCCTCCAGTTGATTCTGACTCACGGCGAACTGATGTGTGTCAGAAGAGAGCTGTGCTCCACAGGTTTTTCAATGGCTGAGTTTTCAACAGTAGCTGGCCAGGCCTTCTTCCGAGGTGCCTCTGGGTTAGCAGCTGAGTGCATTAACCTTTGCACCGCCCAGGGACTTCCATCCACTGCCACTAAGTCGATTCCAACTCATAATAATGACCCCATAGGTTTTCCAAGGCTGTAAATCTCTACGGAAGCAGACTGCCACATCTTTCTCCAGCGAAGCCCCTGGTGGTTTCTAACTGCCGACCTTTTGGTTAGCAGTCGATCACTTTAACCATTGCGCCACCAGGGCACCTTCCAGGGACTCCAAACCAAACCCGTTGCTGTCAAGTGGATTCTGACTCATAGCAACCCTATAGGACAGAGTAGAACTGCCCCACAGGGTTTCCAAGGAGTTGCTGGTGGATTCGAACGGCCAACCTTTGGTTAGTAGCCAAATGCTTAACCACTACACCACCAGGGCTCCTCCAGGGACTCCAATAGGCTCTTAATAAACCTGATTTGACCAACCTGATAGAACTGAGGGCTTCTCTAGGGAACAGTTGGAAACTTGGTGGGTTTGGAAAGGTAAGCTGGGTATGTAAGTTTCACTCAAGCTTCCCACACACATTTCTGCCATCGATCAGCCAATTCACTGGTTTCTTCAATTTATATCCACAGGTTTTTCAGGCAGCAAGTCTAACTTTTCCTTAAACATTTCCACATTTTCATCTTTGACCCCAGTAAATATTTTCTATCATCCTAGGAACTCATTCTCTCATCTTTGCCTACACTGCCAGCCATGTGAAAATTTACCACCAGCCAACTAAGAAACATAGAAAACAAAATTAAGCTTAAAAGTCCCCTAGTGGGCTTCTGTGTGACTCAAGAGTTTAAGCACTCACTGTCTTACAATATCATAAATTAGCAACTTAAAAAAAAAAAAAAAGGATCTGTGATTTTCCAATGAGTAATATGACCTTTCACTGATATCCAGAGATTTTCAAGTGGAAAAGTGTTTCTACCTTTAACCATTCAAAAACAAAATTTTTATGTTAAAAATGAGTAATTTGAGGATTTGTCTACAATACAAAATAACAATAAAGTTGAAAAAGACTTCAAAGAATAAGCTTTCATTTTATCGATGAGAACTGTTTCACATCCTGTTTGCCCTAACACACACACGTCCTAAAGAAAAATAAATTATATTTTAGCTGGAAAATTCCCCTCAATATTTTATGCCCCTTCAGGTAGGTGACAGTAAATTTTTTTGTGTGTAAACCATTGATTTTCAATTGGCAGTAAATATTTTTAAATTACTAATAGAGATAAATACTATTTGATATTAAATAGATTTAATACACACAGAATAATACTAGTATCATGATGAAGAATTTCATGACCTCATCTTAAGCTTACTGGAGTAGGTAATTCAGGTATCATAAAGCAAAAATCTGTGATTAAATTTCTCATTTAAGAATAAAGTAAATGGAAACCAAAACATGTGTCCCCCGAAAATATGTGTCAACTAGGTTAGGCCATGATTCCCAGTATTGTCTGGTTGTCCTCCATTTTGTGATTGTAATTATCTGTTAAAGAGGATAAGGGTGGGATTGTAACATCCTTACCCCGGTCACATTGCTGATCCAATATAAAGGCAGCTTCCCTGGAATGTGGCCGGCATCACCTTTTATCTTTCAAGAGATAAAAAGGAAAGGGAAACAAACAGAGAGGGGGGACCTCATACCACCAAGAAAGCAGTGCCGGGAGCAGAGCACGTCCTTTGGACCCAGGGTCCCAGTGTGGAGAAGCTCCTAGTCCGAGGGAAGATTGATAAGAAGGCTGACAGAGACAGAAAGCCTTCCCCTGGCTGATGCCCTGAATTTGGACTTCTACCCTACTTTACTGTGAAGAAATAAATTTCTCTTTGTTAAAGCCATCCACTTGTGGTATTTCTGTTATAGCAGCACTAGATGACTAAGACAATAATGTAAAAAGAATCTTAAGCTTTCACAAGCAGCTGATATGGAAAGAGAAAGGAGAAAGAGAGCCCTGAGATATAAAAATACTGGGGAAGGCAAAAGGAGAGAATAGCATATAACAAAAGCAAGCAAAGGATAGAACTGACAGTAAGAAGTTCCCCGTGGCCAATGAAATTTTAATAAAACAAGGATGTCCAACATTCTATTTTAAGGTCCTGTCCCTCAAGGTTATGATCTAATATGTATATGCACTACAATTAGTGACCCCTTTCCCCTCAAAGGAAACCCTGGTGGCATAGTGGTTAAGAGCTACAGCTGCTAACCAAAAGGTCAGCAGTTTGAATCCATCAGGCGCTCCTTGGAAACCCTACGGGGCAGTTCTACTCTGTCCTATAGTCACTATGAGTCGGAACAGACTCGATGGCAACAGGTTTGGTTTTTAGGTTGGTCCCCATCAAAAAGGTAAAAAGTCTGCTAGAAAAAAAAAAAAAAACTGTGTAGAGACACAACTGCCATGTGTAAAGTCTTAGTTAAAGTAAGCTAAATACAACTGCCTTGTGTGAAGAGGTGTTTTGAAGAAATCAGGGAACTTGTGGACTGTGTTCCAGATCTGAACTCACAGCCGGTGATGAAAAGGGAACAGCTCTAAGAGGAAAGACACCAGCAATTTGGACAACTCAGCAGAAACAGAGAAATTATGCACCTGGTATCTGGGAGAAAATTAAACCCCAGAAATACTGAGGGAGGGAGATAAGAGGCAGGATTCATTTTTATTTAAATATCGTGGGACACAGTGACCCCAGGAGGCTGGAAGGTGTCGGGGGAAAGCCAGGGAACTGAAATCGGGTTACCAGCTGCCTCATTTGCATACGGTTGGCAGCTAGTAAGTGTTAACTCTCTTCCATGATAAAGAATAACAACAGATACAACTGTTTTCATGCTTCCAACAAAATATTATGAAAAAAGGGAAAACTTTAAAGTGATATAAAACTAGTATGACGTTGTACTTTACCCAAAAGACCAGCCAGGACTTTGCCGAAAGGAACTGGTTAACTGGAAGCTACATGGGGAGCGAGGGAGGAGAGGGTCCAACTACAGGGAAAACAGGTATTTAAAACCACTATAATCTCGAAGCATAATTATGAGGCTAGTCAAAGAATTTCCATCATGCCAGATAATGAAAGGCTGCGATTTTGAGGAAGGCAGTTTAGAAGCTTTGGCGGGGGAGCCTAACAGTTACAAAGTTTAGACTCAACAACTGTTTTCTGCAGTATGAATGCTCAAGTTGACTCCCTTTTCTGAGTTTCGGAAACATTCTAGCAATAACATAGCCTTGTCAAATAAAGGATGAATTACTATGCTACTTTGTGTTAAGGAAAATGAATTAGACATTTATGTACAGATGTTAGAAAAATTTAACAAAAGCCCTTTCCATTCTTCAAATTACTATTACACAGAAGAAGGAGTAGAAAGAAACAACGGGACAAAGACAGACTTGTTTCTCGGCAATAAGGTGCTGCAAAAGACGCAGCCTCTCCCATCTCCCGGGAAGGTTCTCGGGGTTCTGCAGGGAACAGAGCCCGGGAACCCGGAGGCGAAAGCACGGTTCATCTACGGCAGTGATTAGTGTACAGGTGCCAGTACTCGCTCCATTTTTAAAAAATAGAAATTCATAGTATCTGTTTGAAAAAAATAAAAGGAGTTTTTGTCAAACTTCTATTGCCTTCTTACTATTGAGGAGCAGGGGGCGTAAAGGGGTGGCAGGAAATTCACGACGGTTCCTCCCACAGGTTGACGCATCTCACAGGAGCAGTTGGTTTTGCAGAGTCCGTTCGGTGACTTAAACCCTCTCATCCCCACCCCTCAAGCAACACCACCAGGGAGGGGAGACCCGATACCCAGCCTGGCCACCTCCCGCTGCGCCCCATCCACCCACGGCTTGCTTGGGTGGGTGCTGCAGAATGTAATCACCTGCTTCTCCCCTGACCCACGTCCCCACTATGGCTCACCGTGGCTCACGATCCTTGCTGCGGTTCGTCCTATCCAGGCGGGCAGCCCTGGGAGCGGGCCGGCGCGGGGCTCCCGGGAAGGGGCGCTAGGAGGCGCGGGCGCCGGGGTCGCCTCCGCGCCACAGCAGCGGCCTCTGTTTGTAAACAAACTCCACGTGCGCTCGCCCTGCCCCATTCGCAGCCCGCTCCAGGCACCAGAGGATGCGTAGCTTTCTCGCGACCCCTCAAAGGGTGCAATTTTTATTCCCCCTGGAAGAGGAGGGGAAGCCTCGCACAGCGCAGTCGGGCCACAGGGAGCAGGGCCAAGACGGGGTGAGCGCCTGCTGCCCCCTGCTGGCCAACAAACCAATCTGCAGCCCGGAGCCGTGGGGCGATTAGTCGGACCCAAGCGACGCTCGGAGGCGTTTTAGTGGCGGCGCGGCGCCGGGCCCCGCCCCTCACACACACTCGCCGGAGTCCCCGCCCCCGGCCGAGCGCGCGCTCGCCCGCGCAGGCCCCGCCCCCTCGCCGACACAACGCTCTTGCGGGGGCGCGCGCGTGCTCCCTAATCCCCCGCCTTCCGGGTCCTGCAGCGACGCTCGTCCCTCGCCGCACCTCGCCACAGCCGCGCCGCGAGTGTCAGCCTCTTTCGGGAGACTCCATTTGCTCTCAGTGCAGTCTGGCCGCTGTGCAGGCGGGCGTAGAGCGATGTCCCGGCCAGCGGGCTGGTGTCCCCTGCGCCAGGCGGCCGCTCGCTCGCTGGCAGCGGCGGTGACACATCGTAGCCGCCGTGCATAGGAACCGGGCTCCCTCCGCGTGAGGAAAGACGCCCCGCGCCCCGGAGCTCGCCCTACGAGGAGAGGCCCTCGCTAACACGGTTTCTCTCTAACCTCTTAATTTCGGGAGGTAGGCAATTTAGGTCCCTCTCTCTGTCATCCCAGATAACGCGTAATGTTTTTAGCTATCAAATTAATATGAAGTGTTAATTTTCTCAACATAGTTGCAGGATAAATGTGGGTAATGCCACAGACCCTGATAATTGAAAAAAAAAATGTTTTTCGTATTTTCCTTTAGGTTTCGGAGGCTCCGAGTTCCTGTACAGCCCCCACAGTGAACAACTTCTGTTGGCTCATTGAGGATCATCTTTTACCAGGATTATTGTAATACCATCTTCGCTGAGCCTTCGACCCCATAGCCTCTGCCGTGGGTCGTGATTGCCACCAATGAAGTTTTTTGATGAAGTTTTTTGATGCTTTCTTTTCTGTTCATGTGACACTACCTCTTGTCCACCTTTCGCCTTTCCATTTGCAAATATATTAGGTATAAGTTTGTGACCTGCTTAAGTACAGAGTTTTTTGCTCGACCACTTTCATCTTGTACTGCTCACTTCTGTCCAACTCTCCTTACCTTGCTCCTATGACTCTCATAACCATTCACCTGCTAACATGTAACAGTCTTTGCTTAGAAAGCCAGCATTCCATACCATGCACTCTCTGACAGACAGTGGAATGTAGAGTCTGCAAGTCTTCTCTTGAATTAAGCTGTTTATTTCCTAGTACATTTCCCAGAATATTCCCCCCGAGTTTTTGTGTCTTCGGCAAAACACCTGCCATGATGACAAGGAGAATTGCGTATTAAACCGACTGTTTTAGAGAACAGTATTCGTTAAATTTCTAATCTCCAGTGAGATTGCAGTTCATAAACTGAATTCATAAACTTAGTTTACCTTAAACTAAGTAAGGAGGAAGAAAGACATAGAGTTAGTTGAAACTAGTCTTTGTTGTTTTAAAAGAGTCCTAGCTGTTTTTTGTCTCTTCCGTGCCTGAGTTTCATTGTGTGTTAATAGACAATCATGCACACTATAGGCACTAATAAATCCTACTTAAATTGAATTTTTACGACTTTCTGTTTTTATGACTTTAAAATAGTCCTAACTGTTTTAAAACAACAAGTGAAGAGACTCAAATGTAAACCTTGCCTGGAAATTGGCCAGCACACTACCCATACAGGTCCTGGGGGGCAAGAGAGGAACCTTAAGACCCCATGTTCTAGTCTCTTTGTATTAAAGAACTAAGTTAAGTATCTTGATCTAGTAATTGCCAAAATATTAGACACTTAAAATGTTGGGCAAACGAAAGCGTGTGGTGTTGACAATTAAAGACAAGCTTGATATTATTAAGAAACTTGAGGAAGGCATCTCTTTCAAAAAACTTTCTGTGGTGTATGGAATTGGTGAATCTACAGTTCGTGATATTAAAAAGAACAAAGAAAGGATTATAAACTATGCAAACAGTTCAGATCCTACAAGTGGGGTATCCAAACGTAAATCCATGAAATCATCAACATATGAGGAACTTGATAGAGTTATGATAGAGTGGTTTAATCAACAGAAGACAGATGGGATTCCAGTGTCTGGAACAATTTGTGCAAAACAAGCCAAGTTCTTTTTTGATGCGTTAGGGATGGAAGGTGATTTTAATGCCTCATCTGGCTGGCTAACTCGATTTAAGCAGCGCCATGGTATTCCAAAGGCTGCCGGTAAAGGAACAAAATTAAAAGGAGATGAAACTGCTGCCAGTCAGTTTTGTGGTAACTTTCAAGAATTTGTTGAGAAAGAGAATCTACAACCAGAGCAAATTTATGGTGCTGACCAAACTGGATTGTTCTGGAAATGTCTACCATCAAGGACATTAGCTCTTGAAAGTGAGCAAAGTACTTCTGGGTACAGGTCAAGCAGAGAGAGAATCATTATTATGTGTTGTGCAAATGCCACAGGCTTACACAAACTTAATCTTTGTGTTGTGGGGAAAGCAAAAAAACCCCGTGCATTCAAAGGAACTGACCTTTCTAACCTTCCTGTAACTTATTTCAGTCAAAAGGGTGCATGGATAGAACATTCTGTTTTCAGGCAGTGGTTTGAAAAATGCTTTGTGCCGCAAGTACAGAAGCATTTGAAATCCAAGGGGCTTTTAGAAAAAGCAGTACTTCTTTTGGATTTTCCCCCAGCACATCCGGATGAAGAACTGTTGAGTTCAGATGATGGCAGAATAATTGTGAAATATTTGCCACCTAATGTTACAAGTCTTATTCAACCTATGAGCCAGGGAGTTCTAGCCACAGTGAAAAGATACTACAGAGCAGGACTTCTCCAGAAATACATGGATGAAGGAATTGACTCAAAAATGTTTTGGAAGAACTTGACAGTGTTGGATGCAATTTATGGAGTGTCAAGAGCTTGGAATATGGTAAAATCAAGTACCATAACCAAAGCATGGAAAAAACTTTTCCCTGGCAATGAAGAGAATTCATGTGTGAACATTGATGAAGGAGCCATTTTAGCAGCTAATTTAGCAACAGTTTTACAGAATACAGAAGATTGCGAACATGTTGACATTGAGAATATCGATCAGTGGTTTGAGTCTCAGAGTAATGACTCAAGCTGTAAGGTGCTAACTGACAATGAAGGTGCTGAGGACCAGGCCAAGCCTGCTGAGCAAAAGCCTTCCAGTAAGACTAGAAAAACAGAACCGAATCCAGAAAAGCATATTAGTCATAAAGCCGCACTTGAATGGACTGAAAGTTTACTGGATTATTTAGAACAACAAGATGACATGCTTCTGTCTGATAAATTGGTATTGCGGAGACTTCGAACAATAATAAGAAGAAAACAGAAGATCCAAAATAGCAAAAATCATTAGTAGGGCTCTTAAATGTTTCATTGTCTTTGTATCTTTATGACTGTTTATCTGCAGTGGAACTTAATTACCTGTTTGAAGTGCTGTGGATTCCAAGGCCAAATACATTCTATAAATGATTTTAGGATTAGCTGCCATTTTGGATTACTTAAACTACAACTCTGTAATGTTGACATTAGTAATTGAGCGTTAACACGTAACTTGTCTACATCAGTTGTTTCTAATCTGTATTATACAAATTAGATCATAAGGTACCTGAGGTCAGGGATTGTGTGTCTCTTCTGTGCCTGAATTTCACTGTGTGTAGTAGAGAATCATTCACACTATTGGCACTCAATAAATCCTACTTAAATTAAATTTTTATGACTTTCTGAACTTCAGTTTCCAAACTGAAATATGGTGGAGGTAAGTTTCCATTTCCATTTTTTTCCATGCTGAAAAACTTAGAAGAGCTCACCAAATATTGTACTTTACTTTCCACTGCTGAAAAACTTAGAGGAGCTCACCAAAGATTGTACACTAGTCCCCCATTATCCGCAGGGGATACGTTCTAAGACCACCCCCCATGGATGCCTGAAACCACGGATGGTACTGAACCCTATATATGACTATGTTTTGTCGTTTACATACATACCAATGATAAAGGTTAATTTACAAATTAAGCACAGTAAGAGATTAACGACAATAACTAAAATAGAGCAATTATGATAATATACTGTAATAAAAGTTAGGGGAATGACAGAGTGGGATGGCGTGAGATTTCTTCATGCTATGTATTCCTTTAACATTTTCAAACTGCAGTTGACAAAGGAAAGCAAAACTGCGGATAAGGGGGGACTACATATCCTTAAAAAGTATTTCACTATGACTACAGGGAACTGAAGAAAATAAAGTCTTAAATATGCCATTTCTGTACCAACAGTATTTGGGCAATCAGCAATTCAGATTGGCTATCTCTGAGTGTAATGAAGATAGAATAAGGTCAAACTGTCCCTAGGGAAAGGGCTTTTCCATTTGACCAGTGAAAGTTTCTTCATAGTTGTGGAGAGAATGCCATTTCATTTTAGGAAAATAAAGTTCCCAAACCATTGAGATTAGAAGAGGTAAGGGTTAATTTTTTTTGTCATTTTGATTCTTTAGTAGTACAGATTTGTCAACAGTTTTTTCTCTTTCATAAGCTACTTGACCTTTATGTGGGGCCCTGGTGGCGCCGTGGTTAAAAGCTTGCCTTAAGAGCTCGGCTGCTAACCGAAAGGTTGGCAGTTCAAATCTACCAGTTGCTCCTTGGAAACCCTATGGAGCAGTTCTACTCTGACCTGTATGGTAGCTATGAGTCGGAATCGACTTGACAGCAAGAGGTTTGATTTTTTGGTTTTGACATTTATGTAACTCTTTAAACCTTACAAAGTATGTCATATGACTTCATATAGCATATTTGTAGTGAAAGCCAGCACTGAAAATAAAAGGGCATACATTTAATTTGTGGAACCAGCACATGATCTCTGGACTAACATTCACTAGAGCGTAGGAGAGGCCCTATAGAAAAGCACAGACACTGGAGCCAGACTTCGGTGTGACCATGGGCTAGTTACTTGACTCATCTGTCAAACAGGTAATGCCTGCCTCATGGAGTTTCTGTGAGGAGTAAATGAGTTGATATGTAGACTTTAAATACTATGCACTGAGAAGGCACCTGGCTCAGAAGAAATCTTTGAGTATTGTTAGTAGCCATCGAGTTGATCCTGACTCATGGCAACCCTATGTGTGCAGAGTAGAACTGCTCTGTAGGGTTTTCAAGGCTGTGACCTTTCGAAAGCAGATTACCAGACTTGTCTTCCGAGGCTTGTATGGGTGGGTTCAGATCACCAACTTTTGGCTTATCCTCAAGTGCTTAACTGTTTGTATCACCCAGGGACTCCTTTGAGTGTTAGCTATTGTTAATATGTTGTCGAAATTAAGAGTTTTCAGAAGTATGCTAAACATCCATTGTGTGACTCAAAGTGATGCTGCTGCATTGGGAAAACCCTTATAAGGCATCTCTTTCCTGAGATAAGAGAGATAGGGATAACTAGTGTCAGCTGAAATTCAATAATAATTTTTCTCAATGGAAACAGAGAGGTTAATCCAATTTATAAACTATTTACTGACCATTTCTTGCTAAATATAATGAGATATACAGGGATGTTTAAGACATCTTAGGTTGAACTATAACAGAAAATGGGAATGGAGTTGTAATTTCTTTGCTCCAGGCCTGTTAGCACCCAGCTAATAAAAGTAAACAGATGTGGGCTTTGTGTATAGAAGAAAATCTGTTAATAATATTGGCATGATTCACTGAGGTAATAAAATATTTTTAAAATAGATAAGATAGCAGTAAGCTGGGCCCTTGGAATATTTTACTAAACTAAAGTAGTACTGGATCAATAGAAAATTAGATCAAAAGAAGGGTTATAGGAGACCCAGTTACAGTCATTAGGTCCAGCCCTCTATATGCAGTAATAGGTTTCTCATTTTGTTTTTGTTTTTTGTTTTTTTAGGAGTAACCACATCTGGTTTATTTAGAGCCTTTATTTGACTATTTTTCCTGCATAGGGCTATCATAAGCACTCAGAAAATTTGCCTTTTGAGCTGAGGCTTTGGGTGTGAGGATGGCCTTTTCAGAAGATTTCTAAAAATCCACTTTATTTGGGGGAATTCATACATTATTAACACATCTTCCTAGGTCTAGACAATTTCACTTACCAGATAGGCCTAAGAAAATGGGACTCTGCACAGTTAAGTCCTGAGGCTACCTGGCTTCCTGTAGACCAAGAGATCCTGAAACTTGACGCTGGTGATGATGTTATTATTTGTCACTTGCAATAGTGCTTTGCATTTTTTCATGGTGCTTTTTGCTAACATTACTTCTCAAACTTCTTTCATCTGATAACTGAAATTACTTAATTTTGTGTTTTATCATAAATGTTTATATAAATTGTGCATTCTAATTCCATAATCTGTTGTAAAACAAAAATCTTTCTCCTTCCAAGTATTGTAATATATTAGATCCTTTAGAAAGATGCATCCATGGTTATCTTGGATAACCACATTCCCCTCATGGTTGTATCTGCCGAGTTTGAGAAGCTCAGGCATTTGTGCTCTCATTTAACTGTACACATTTGAGAGATTTAACAGAACTCAGACTAACTGGGAAAGTGGAAGCTAAGAGAACACTTGTTTGGTATAATTTGGGAAGCCAGAAACAAAAGGTGTTATAAGTGTATAATGAAATGCATAAAACGTAACTATCTTCTACCACATTTGTGACCAATCTAAAGATAGATTTCAACATATTTAGTGTAGCTTCTTTATGGAGCTTTAAGTGTGATTTATGACTATCCTTATAACTTTGAACACAGACCTTTGGGAATTTTCATTTTCATAGTGATTACTGTAATGAGATTATCAGCTTTTACCACTGCAACTAATTAAATCACAGGAGGATATGGTATTTTAGAGTTACTATCCAGATATTGGAGCCCTGGAAGTGTAGTGGTTAAGAGTTTATTAGGTGCTAGTCGCTTGATGCCAGGATGGATTTATGAAGTTAAAGATGAACTTTGTACTGTAGAGGAAACAATTTGAAATGATTAGCTGAAGTCTCCCAATAAACGAAAACCAAACCCATTGCCACTGAGTCAATTCTGACTCTTAGCAACCATATAGGACAGAATAAAATTGCCACCATGTACAAAACAAAACTATCATGAGAAAAGAATGCATTTTTCATTGATTCTAAAGATGCATATTTTTTCACAAATGAATATCTGTGAGATCAGCATCCTACTTAAACAGTCATAGTTGATAGCATTTTTGTCTTAATGGTACAAAATTATGTCATATAGATTCTGTGAAATACAATAATGAAAATTTTTGTGTAAATCTTGCCTTCCTTTTGTAATGAGGACTAGAAACTCCATGTTGGTACTAACAAAAATTTTCTATCTAGAAGATTTATATTTAGGAGTCTCTGAGTGGTGCAAACAGTCAAGTGCTTGGGTGCTAACTGAAAGTTTGGTGGTTTGAGCCTACCCAGAGGTGCCTCAGAAGACAGGCCTGGCAATCTGCTTCTGAAAGGTCACAGCCTTTGTCTTAGTCATCTAGTGCTGCTACAACAGAAATACCACAAGTGGATGGCTTTAACAAAGAGAAATTTATTTCCTCACAGTAAAGTAGGCTAAAAGTCCAAATTCAGGGCATCATCTCCAGGGGAAGGCTTTCTCTCTCTGTCAGCCTTCTTATCATCAATGTTCCCCAGGACTAGGAGCTTCTCTGTTCAGGGACCCCAGGTCCAAAGGACGTGCTCTGCTCCTGGCACTGCTTTCTTGGTGGTATGAGGTCCCCCAGTCTCTCTGCTCACTTCTCTCTTTTATATCTCAAGAGCTTGCCTCAGGCTATAATCCAATCTTGCAGATTGAGTCCTGCTTTACTAATACAACTGCCATCCATCCTCCCTCATTAACATCACAGAGGCAGGATTTACAACATATAAGAAAATCACACAATACCAGGAATCATGGCCCAGCAAAACTGGTACACACGTTTTTGGGGGGACATAATTCAATCCATGATAGCCTTGAAAACCCTATGGAGCAGTTATATTCTGCACACCGTGGGGTTGCCATAAGTTGGAATCCACTTGAACGGCAACTGGTTTGGTTTTTGGTTAGATTTATATTTATAAAAGTGTAGTTATATATTACATGTGAATATGCAAAAGTTAGGTATCTCTATAATATAGTCCATCTTCAGAAATCTTATTTTGTAATAGCATTAATTACACTCATACATGTTTTACTAATATAAGAGGAAAGGTAGAGTAACCCTACTAAATTACTGAAAAAAAATTTTTTTTAGGCATGCTGCATTATTTCTTTTGAATACAGAAAATAAATTGAAGACCTAACAAAGTGTAGCCAAATAGTGATTTTACTGGCCTTACCTCTAACGATTTATATGTTTGTTAATTTGGTAAGAAGTTTCTAGATTATTCAAGAATAACTTGCTTACCTTGCTTATATGTTACATCCCCATAACACAATTGTCCATAAGCTAAGGATAACATACCATAATGGGGTTTTGTGTGTTTGTTTTAACTAAAGTCTCTACTTTATTCAGATTTTCTTATTTTTTTTTACCTAATGTCCTTTCCTGTTCAAGGATTCTATTTACAATACCACGTTCTATTTAGTCATCATGTCTCCTTAGGCTCCTCTTGGCTGTGACAGTTTCTGACTTTCCTTGGTTTTGGTGACCTAGACAGTTTTGAGAAGCACTATCAGGTATTTTGTAGAATGTCTTCTGTACATAATTTTTTTTTTCTTCTT